ACTCTGACTTTTTCTGAGCGGTGATCTGCCCACCAAATGGAACTAGAAGAATGGTGACTCCACGAATGTTTGGAATTCCAATGATAACAAAGCCCGCTTATAATAGTACCGGGAATTCCGTCCCCCACGACTGTAATCCAATTACAAGACACGTAGCGGGAACCTTCCAGTTCTAATTTGTTTACACAGCGCTTGTTGTTTTAAAGCTCAGTGTATTAAAGTCAATGGAAGGAGACAATAGGTTTTTCCTTACATACCTATCTTGTCCGCATACCAAACTTCGTTCCACAAATTCCTTGCAGTATTAATGTCTCCTCGCTTCTGCTCAGTTTATATTCTTATCTCCACGAAACACCAGAAATCAGAATCTTGGCATGTTCTCTAAAAGTCGATACAAATATCCGGTATCTGTGATGCTTTTGCATGCAGTATGATATCAGTTGTTTAATTTCTTTCGTGGTTTGGTGTTTTGAAATTAGTAAGCAGTTTTCAATGTAAGCAAGCATTAGATAGATTAGATTAAGCAACTTCATTAAATGAATGAAATTTATTTATTTTATTAAATTAATTAAAGTTAATTACATCAGACGATGAGGAATCCTTCATTTAATAGTTATCTCTGTGCCTTCATTGGATTATTTTGCTCCTTTTTTCATGCAACGATCGATAAGAGGATAAGCAGACTTGCACACAGCACTTTTTGCAGCTCCAAACAAAAGAATGTCTTGCACATTGGTAGCTGGAATGCTTATTAGCGTGCAAGCTTCATCTTTTGTAGCATGTAAGTTGTTGGAAAGTAGACTCTTTCACCTCGGGAACAGGCCGACTGTCTCGTAGTCGCGTGATATTGTCTCGTAGTCACGTGATATTGTCACGTGGCACTACCTGAGAGACACGTGGCACATTTAACATGCAAATTTGCTTTGTGTTCGTGGCAATCATTATTTGCACCAATTCTTCATCCTCGTTTTGCATCAAAAACGCCAGGTCGAATGATTTTATGTATCTTGTAAGAAGTAAGTCAGCCTACTCAGCCTAATTAATTCCATCAGTTCACAGCCACTTACAAGTGTTCTTATCTCCACGCCTTACGCTATCTAATAAGTTAATTCGAGTGTTATAAAATTAATATTTAGTAGTCCTGCTTAATATTAATGAATAGTCTGATGTGGACATCTACGATACATGTGAAGTATGAACTTATGAAGCTGTGACAGTGTAACTATGCAGACTAACACTCTCACTACAGTCCAGGTATTCGGTAACGTACGAAGCTCAAACCCACAAACTACCTCACTTGACCAAGAATATTTCCACTTGAAAAAGACTTTTCCCAAGTGGTGACACTACCTCCCTACACTCAGTAGAATGTGGGGGGCAGTGTTTCCTTCCAAACACAAAGCTTCAACTCAATTAGACTCCGAAATACCGGAAATCCACAGCCTGTTTGCATTTCGTGTTAGTACTCTAAAGAGCTACACAATTTATAAACGCTCCCGATGTAATTCTAGAATTCTTCTCTCCCGTTTTCATTCCTAACATGCCTGGCATTCCTGCTGAGTTACCGCTGAGTTACCGGGCACCGGCTCCGTGTCCCTGTTATTCTAATTTTTGTCCAATTATGTAACTTAATTTGTAGCAGAGGTATGGCACGTCTCTACGATCGGGAGTCTGCTGATCAGATATTATTCTAACTAGACCTACTCATATTGATTTCAGTCCATGTGATAGTTTAATTGTGTTCGTTAAGGGCGATCAGGCACCCAATTAACATTTAACACTCATCAATTAAGACCAGTATTTATAATTGGTCTCCAACTTCAAAACTTCACCTTATTTTACCATCGCTTCGCCTAACTTATAACCGTTCCGCGACTCACAAGACTTTTTAATCCTACCTCACTCCTCCGATATTTCGCATGTTCTTAAGTTACTCACCTTACACCTTACACCTACTACTGAGGTGTTGGGTATTAGTAACAAACGCATGATGTATCGGATAAACCATTAGTAGTAGCAAAAACAGCGCTTTTTATTGTATAATCTTTTCGTTCGGCATTAACTTCCTTTTACAGCTGGTATGCTTTTCTTCGTTTACCATTAAAGGTAGTAGTTTATCTGATGTCATTTGAATCGTATTTCAGTAACTTGAGCTGGCTCAGATATCAGTCAACAGATTGATTAATCTTGTAAATTCGGATTATATAACCTGCGTATTGGCATTCAGCGCCTTTATCTCACTTCAGGGGTGTACACCCCTGTCTCAATTCCACGAATTAGATACTGGTGTCGGAACATCCTATCCGGATATTACCGGCACTGCTCTTCCAATAATTGATTAAATCATCACCATTTCTCGTATCAGCCTCTTCTTTAGTGCCCTCATCTGCTGTCAACAAGTAGTGGAGCTCATCACCTCGCCATGTTCAGCCAGTTTAGCCACTGTTGGAACTGGTACAAAGATTGGTCTTAATTTGCCTCACGTTTAGTATAGTACATACTGGCAAGTTTATAACATATATACTATAAACTTGCTAGGTTTCATCAAAACATCAACTCACTCCCGCTGACTCGTGTGCATCTAATTTCTGTTTCATCAGGTTTCTGACCACTGCTCAGTTTTCTTTATCTCAAGGAAAGGGCGTGATAGAAACTTCTGGATAAAGATTAAAGATCTTACTATTTTAGCGAACTTTCAACTTTCAATTGAAAATTCATGTCCCGGGAGTAATTCTATTACCGCATAAAGATTACTGAGCATCGCTAAGTTGATCTTCTATTTTTACTATGGAGTAACTAGATCATACATTGAGCTTGCATCAACGATAGAAACTTTTATAAATATCCAGACCATTAGTTTAAACTTAAACCTGTTTAAGGTCCATCGGTTGCTAACACTCACGACTATTCTCACGACTAATTGTGGTAATGATGGTAATTAACCAGAGCTTCAATTGTATGTGGTGGTTCCGAACAAAAAGGGTTTGTTGTACGGGAGGAGTTAACAACCCTACATAGACCACATTGAACACGTGACCTCATTGAACACGTGGTATTTACACACTGCGTGTACACACACGCAGGTTTAAATTGTGTGTGCTGGCAAAACATGGCGTCATTAGTTAGAGTCTCCGTGTCTAGCGTGTAGGGCACTGGTTATATATCTCTTTTCAGGTTTTGCAGATGTAGTTGTTGTAGTTTAGGAGTTGTTTTTTATATTTTTAGTAGTTGTTGTTATGTGGCAGTAGTTGATCTAGTGTGAATACTTTAAAAAGTTTACCAGTTTATTATAACAGCTAAAATGAAACTTTAAGGCGAACAGTCTGTAGCGCCTGGTGTTTTCCAAACAGCTGATCTGAAAATAATCCAGCTGATCGGGTCTGGACAGACCAGATCAATATCAAGTTGCAGATGTGAACTGAATCTAGGGAATCAGCTGCATAATCTGGTTGTGTTATCACAACCAGTTACTCACAACCAGTTATTTACTGTCCTGTATCCTCCAACTGAATATTCTGTCTTCTGAATATTCTGTTAATCGTGTACCTCCTGATTCTTGACAGTGGCAAGAATTTTCCCGCTTATCTCTATATCTTACACCAAAAGTGAATGAGAAACATGAGTGACTCAGTCATGTACTGTACATGAATGTTTCATATTTTGCAAGCTGTACGGGCCCACCTGGTGTTTAGTTTTACCCTAGTTCTATCCAGTCTAGATTTGGCGTCTTGTTTAGTATTCATAATCTCATGTTAAAGCTCGTTAGTAATAGTAGACAAGCCACCTGTGGAGCACAAAGAGAGTGGAGCTGTGGTGAGACATAGCTGTACTAGTAGCCATGGTAATAGTGGGGGCTCTTTCTGTTTTTACTCTTCACTTTGCTCGAAATTAACAGACGGCTTTTTTTTGGTTTTGTGTTTTTCTGTGTAGAATTCCAGTGGAACTGTCTAGACACGTGTAGGAACACGTGTCTAGGCATGTTCCTACAAGGGAACATCTCGAAAGTGTCTTCTTGTGCAGCCATTGAGTGTGCGGTGAGTTTGGAAGAAGCAGCAGCCTGCTCCGATTGATCACTTTAAAAACATCGCCAATTCTCATTAAACGAACAATTTGCTTGCCATGCAACTCGCTAGATGCAAAACATGTTGGCTGATTTCTATTGACTCTCCAAGGATGCTTGCTTCTGACGCTGTTGTAATGCTTATAAGTCGTATGTGACTCGAAGCTCGATTGCAGTTTTGGCATTTAACAAACGAAACGTTGTTTTCTTTTTCTAGGCTCTATCGAGTAATAGTTAATAGTATCGTGTCTATTTAAACCTACCCTTGATTTGTTTCGTCCAATGTATGTATCGTATCATGTGGATACTTTGGAAATCACACACTTCGTAGTTCATTTACAGTTTACAGACAAATCTGACGTGTTAAAATCATGTTCCACAGTCGGACGCCTAAGTTCTTCAAACCAAATTAGCGGATTTCCTATCCGTTTATCATTTATGTTGGCGGATTTCCTATTCAGTTATCAGGGTACCTTTCGTTATTTCCTTCTGTAGATCAGTCCCGTTTGTTTATTGAATAATCGAATGTTGGATCTACAATCCTGATCTTGCTACCTGACGTGGCACTTAAAGAATGATAGATTTGCAGATCATTGCCTATTAGAGTACCTATATCTAAAGTTTCACTTCCTAGGTTGAATTCCAGGTGTGCTCACCCTTTACTGCTGCCTTGCTTTGTCTATTTTCTTCCACTTTGGTCAGAGTTCAGATTGGGGTCGGGGCTTTTATAATCTAATCGTTTTTTAATTACTTAAAAATTATTATTCCTCTTTAACAGTTTGAAATCGAAGTTTGTATTCACAATAGGATGTTTTGTCAACAGATTCACATAAAAACATATTCGTAAGCTGCTCTAGTTCATTTGCTTATTTGCTTTAATATCTAATCGAATATTTTAATATTTAACCAACTATTTTCATAGCTAACCAACTATTTTTATAGCTAACAAATCAAAATGGGCGAATGGAAATCACCACTCTGGGGCTGTTTCGATGATATCGGCGCATGTAAGTTCAAATATTTGTATTCCTAAATTCCTATCATCGAACTAGTTTAAAAATAAAGGGAAAAATGTCCTATCAATGATTTCGTATTCATACCTATGATAGCATTTCATTTTACTAACTGGCATACAAGAGCGATTGTTTTTATTATTCGCTAAATCAATGATTATTGATAAATTTCTATTCATTAACCTATAAAATCCTTCAGGCTTGATCACCTACTTCGTCCCTTGCTGGACATTCGGTAAAGTTGCTGAATCTGTCGGAGAGGATTGCATAATCTACGGTATTCTTGGTGTCGTTCCAATTGTATACGGTTACTTCAGGTTAGTTTCCACACATTTACTTTTAGATTAGCTACTTTACTGCTTTTCAATTTCATTGTTTTCGATTTTTTTGATGTTTAATCAAAATCATCATATTTCTGATTAACAATTTATGTTTTTGCCTCATCCATGGGGTTACTTGAATGAAAATACACTATTTGATTGAAAGAAATAACAAAACTTTCTCTCCAGGTTCTTAGTTAGACAAAAGGTAGCAAAGAAAGCTGGTATTGACGAAAGTGCGCTTATTTCCTGCTTAATCTCCTTCTGTATTCCCCTGTGTGGAAACCTGCAAGAACGAACCCAGCAAGGAGTAGATGTTATGCCCAGAACTTAATTTGGATAGAATCAAGAGGTCTTCAGCATCCTGTGTGGGATGAATTTCATTCAGGGACAAGAAATGGGACCTTGTAAACCTTAGATTGAACTTCTTACGTTATCTAACTAACTAGACATTCTTCAGGCGTAATCTTATAAGTGTTAAGATGAGATTAGTATATTTTTGTCATAGCGAGAATTTGCGATTTCAAAGTGTTTTGGTTTTTAAATATCGTATATAGGTTTTTTCTTATATATGGCGTTAACTGTTATATGATGTTAAATTGTCGTGGTGTTTTCAAGGTATGGTCATGAGTAAACTTACAACAAATTAAATCTGTCTATTGGTTCTAGTTTATATTTAATTAAACTTTTCTAGATAATACCATTTTTCATGATAATGATAATCAGATAGGCTTGTCCTGTTTTGATTTGTTCGATATGTTGTATTAAACTTTGCAACCTTACCATATACTATTATTCAATGAAATATGTGTAGTTTTCTTTAGAATCATCAAAAGATAAAATTGTTTTGAAAATTAATAATTTTGAAGATCAGCCTATTTGAGCCGTTGCTGAATGCTGGTAACGTAGTCAAGTAGATTATCCCCCACATTCACGTTCTAGTCCCTCCCTCCCTCTTCCTCTCTGGCACTAATACCATGTTCTCTGATTTACAATTTACATAGCCCAGGAAATATATATACTTTATATTGAGGAATAACTGAGCGAGGCCGTGGCTGTACTGTGTTACTTCTTTGCTCTAATCTATGAGAATATTTAAAGTCATAGATAGTGGACAGCTGTAACGGTACGTGTGAGACTCCAAATTATCTACTTTAATTCGTGGTAGTCAGTATTGTGGTACGTAGAACTACATATATAATTACAATTATAAGCTGGGGTCTCACCTTTGCGACTGAGAATCGGCTTCTTTCCGATTGATAATGACGCCGCAATTAACAATCGGTAAAAATTATCAGTCAGTATACAACCTTAGCAGTTATTTCCGTGCGTGCCGGTGCATCACAGATGATGAATACAGAATGTCAGAATATCAATAAGTAATTTTTGTTTTATATATAAACTGATCTAAATTTAATCATTTTGACGTGCCCACTTGCATCCACAATACCCTTGTCCACTACGCACACACTTATTCTATGTTCTATGAGTATGAATTTGTCACCGCGATAACCGTAGCCTGGCTCATATCAGAAGCAGATTGTGCAAAGTGTGGTCCTCAGATAAATGTGATCTTTTTTTGTTATATTGTAGCGTTATTTGAGCTAATTATTATAAAGTAGTTAGTTATTTGGGGTACAATTTTATACTTATGTAGCTTTTGTGGTTAACCGCTTCTGTAGTTCGATTGGTGCACTTGCAGGTAATGGTATCGTTATTAATACTGCATATTGCAGGAGTTTAGTAAGTGTAACAGGTAACTGTAGCCTCGCGGCCGCTCAAATCGAGTTGTGTGATAAATTAACATTGCAGGTATGCCACGAGACATGGCAGAGTAATTTTTAATTATAAAGCGCAGATACATCTGAATCTGATTAGTAATAATCAATTAATTAATTTGGCGTATCCTGGGACATAAGAATGGCCAAAAATTTTAAATATATTAATATAAGCATGTCCACATGCAAATATGAAAATGCTATTCAAAAATTAGCATTTTAGCGCCATTGTATTTGTTGCTTTTTCGGTTTGAGGTTGTACATTTCAATTTTGTACGTTACAATTGCTGTACTCTGTTAAGTTTGAAAAGTATTTCATAAAAAATAATGTCCTTATTATGTATTATAACAATTAATTAATTTAATATTTGTTGGTCATATCTTAAAGTGAGGCTCATGTATAGTAGCATGAATATTCTTTATTTCACTGTGGTAAGCGGTTCGATTTTCGACCCAAAATGTTACTTTTATACATGACTTTCAGTTAATATACATTATAACATCATATCAAATATCAATTATCGTGTCTACAGTAAAAGAATCCTACCTACATGTACCTATCTATCCGAGGGGAACTAAAGCTGGTACTCTTGGCATGGACCAAACGCTGGATTTTAAAACCTGTCCAAGAAGAAGTTAAAAAACGGGTTTGTTTCTTTTGATTATTGAGCAATGAGCGGTTGTTATGATTATCACACTTAATTGAAAAGTAGGTACTATGTGTTAGCCTATCAAGCCATTCTTAATCTTGATCTCTTCTCCAATCTTTTTTACTTTAAATTAATCTATTTATACCGCTTCAGTGAAGCTGTTTCTTACCTGAACGTTGATATTTTCAGATAAGCTATGGTGTTAATAAGACTGAGACAGAACTTAGTTCTGATCATGAAATAAGGAATAGCTTCCGAAGTTGTAGACGTAGTACTATCAGTGTGAGTATTTAAGTTGAGATTTGTAAAATTCATTGTAATGAAGACCAATATTAATGTTTTAAATAAAATTGGATATTGGAAACTAAAACTAAAACTAGGGGTGGTTGCTAAGAAAACCTATTTCTAAGCGACAAACTTGAGGGACTAAATCAGAAAATATAATTTCTGGCCGTTTTAGGGTTCAGGCACGATTATTAATAGTCCAACTCCAAGTTCAACTTCAACTTTTAAGCGATATTATGTCATTAGGTAGTAGGTACCTTTAAATCGCTCCGAAAAGTTTCTTTTAAGCTCAAAAGTTCAAACTTTATTTCTATCCCGGTACGGTCAAATTGATTATTCCGCACTACTACTACATGAAATTCCCATGTTTTCCAGTTATTGGCTTACTTTGGATCTTGTATGGCCTATAAATATCTAACCGACCAAGATTAAAATTTAAAACCCACGAATTAATAGCTAATGATGTGTCACACATTAAGCAATTTATCATTATAGCCATGATCCGCTGTCCTCTAAGTCTACGAGGTATATATTGCACATATTGCAGCTAAACGAGGATAGTAATTAGATTTAGATGCCAGTAATATGTGCAGTGGTTATTCATACAAGTCAGACAATCGGAAACTTTGTGGTTTTAGTGTCTTCTTTTATTGTTTGTAGTTCATGTTGTACGTGATTCTTGACTAAAACGTAAGATTGGGGGTAACACCCAAGTTACGGGACAAGGGACAGAAAAGGATGGCTGGAATGCATTTCCTGATGAGACCAATCTCTGTAGCCAGCAATGGGGCATGCTCAGCGAATGAAACTTTTCACCCTGATGAAATCAGAGCAGCATGTTTTACAAGTCCCAGACCTGATTACTACAAAATTAACAACGACCATGCTACTGCCAGTGAGGGCGTCCAGGGTAATAGATTTGTAGTACCTACAGATCCAGGAATCACGGGACCGAGTGGAGAACAGCCCAAACGAGAGGTTTTTAGAGACAGCTGGGACAGTTTGGAGACCCTGTCTAGAGAGGATATCACTTGCAGACTTAAACCTGAGGTAAATTCTTAATACCGTTATTATTATACCCTGTTATATTACCCTGTTTTTATAGTGTTATGTTCTGTGTTTTAAATATTGCCAAATGCCAGGTAAAGGTGTGGAAGTGGGGCACGTAATACGTGGTAATATTTTGATTGTTGATACTGTCAGTCCTACAGTTTCAAATCTAACCGTTATTTTTGACACCGCACTTCAGGATACATTTCGTTTGAAATATTTAAGTTTATCAATATTATTTCGGCCAGGTAGCGCAGTTGGTTAGAACGCCTGTCTTACAATCGTTAGGTTGCGAGTTCGAAACCCACTGACTGCCTGGTCGTGGGGTGAGCGTCGTCGACGTTCAGCTAAGGATCATGAGAGGTCTATGCAGCCCCCCGGTCTACTCAGCCGAATACTCGAGAAATCGGGTGTGAGGGTTAAATGAGGAGCTGCACATTGCAGCAAAGTCTCGGACGAAGAAAGTATGGTACACACTACCTTAACCGTCACTGGCCAAAAAGATCCTTCGGCTTCCTGTAATTGGCTGGTTGCACTTGTGTAACATTGTGGCTGTTGGAATACACCGAAGTAAAATAAGTGTCTAGATAAAAAAAAAAATCAGCGAAGCCTTCCGGTTACATTGATATACAATTACATTTGTTGTACATATAATATATATAATATTATAAAAGAAGCTCCTCCGACCCGCGACCGGATCGCCATATCATGTGCCAAACCGAACTTAGCAGTTACCATAGTGCATAGAAAAGGACAAAAAAGTTTGGTGGCAGGTAGGACGGGTCTGGGGTACAGTTGATAAGGCCGCGGTTAACAAACACGACCGAATTTTCGTTCGGCATTTCATCTAACGGTTAGTCATTGAACCACAATTGTACACCGTACATTGTAGACAGTAGATACACCAATTAGGTACATTCAAAGGCACTCCAACAGTTTCGGTACATGCAGTGGCATGACATTTCAAGTCATTTACATGCGCAACGGATACGTACAGGATACCGCAACTTCCAGTGACAATGGCACTGCCAGACGACCAGTACGCACAAATTTTAAAGATCAAGCTGTTTTTGCATACTAAACGGTTTCTGTATAAGATGGCACTCATTTCTGATCATTTACCGTGTATGAGATGACGATTTGGTACTGCAATTGCTCAATTATTGCAAGCTCAACTGAGCTATTATGATTGTCATGTTGACTTTAAATGTTGCAGCTTCTCCAAAGCACCAACGAACCAGTTTTTGCTGCGCTTGGCGTTAACGTTTCGAACTCTAAAACTCATCAGAAGAATGATGAAAACCCGCAATGGAATGTCGACTTTCAGTTGGAGGATCAGAATGGGTCAATTGAGAGAGAAGAAGCGACTGATCTTTCCATCTGTCCATATGAAAAGGTAACGTTTAGTTTTGGAATCTGCGCAGTTATCATCCATTTCACGTTTCAGATATTCCATCAAAAAAAGTATAATCACCTAGACCTGCGCCGTAAAGTTTACAAATTTCTGTTGAAATGGAAAAACTGGGATTATGACATGACAACGTGTCGCTTTTCTTTTTGATAGCGGTCCTTGATGGCCTTTTTTAATTGAAAACAGAACATGTATTGAACATGATATTTACTAAATGTAATTAATTAAAAATAAAGTTGATGCTAGATACAACGGTTCTTTAGAACTAAATTAAGGTGTCTTTTTTGTACTGTTCTAAAGGTCGGCTTGACCAAAACACGTGCAAGTGCGGAAACTTACAAAGCTTCAAAGTGAGATCCCACTTTTGCTTTGTCAACAAAAACCAAGAAATATTATAAACTCATTGTTATACTTAACTCAGAACTCTGTAAAAGTAAAAGGCACTATTTATATAATATAACATTAGAACAGTTGTTTCTTGAAGAGTAATGGACAGCTCGCATCTCTTTTGCAAAATATGCATAGTGTTGTTTTGTGGGATAAATTAGATCCTTAAGAGATCAAACCTTTTACTATAGGTGGTAAAATATCAACCTGTCGTCACTTCTGCATGTAAAGTTATTTTTTGTCT